CGACAATTGCGCCCACAATCTGTGTATTGAACGCCGAATTGAAGTAATTGATAGAAGAGGCCGGAGATTTCCAGTCCACGGCTATCACGTTGTATTTTTGGGATAGAAAATAGTTCTTGATGTTCTGTAAGAATAGCAAGATAGGTGAATTTACTGTCTAATTAATAAACGTAATGTGCATTGACTATGACTAACAGCCATCCAGGCGCACATTCCCTGGCCATCGCATTCCTCATAGTAATCGGTATATCCGTGTACTATGAAAGCTGTGGGTCTTTGCGGCGAGTAATCGCTGGCCTTAAACTGATCCATGTCTGTCTTGTACGCGTTAAATGATTGAGTTTTATTAGATGTTGGCGTAAATAATAGAAGTGTGACGTTCATTGCCTCGGGATGTATGGGACATATGGATAGGATTTGCTTGAGAGCGGTCGCCGACTTGATTGTAGAGACGACATCGCCTGAAGTTAACAGTTTCTTCACTTCTTCCACAAACGATTGGGTGGAAAAACAGCCCAACTCTTCAAAGCACTGCTTCTTAAGACCTTTGGGTAATTGTTTTGTCAAATGTGTTATAATTTTTATTTTATTTTAATTAGTTTGTAATTATAACTCACAATTAGTGACATCAAACACTGATAAGTCAATCGCTGGTATCGCTGGTAGCGCTGGTAGCGCTGGTAGGCTCTCAGCGTAAGCTATAATATAGAAAATTAATGTAAACTTAATGTTAAAAATCATTTTTTCGTATCAACTTTTTCAGTCAATGTATTGATTAGTTAGCGTACAATAGTTTAGTTAATAATAAAGATCTGATAATTTTTGCATCTAATGTAAATTATCTAAATTAAAAAGTTTAACACAAAGTTTTGCTCTTCCTTTACATACAATGAACAGCTTTTCCTTTTTTGTCAATAAAACATTTCACCGGAGAGTAAAAAAAGTGCTGACAAACATATAAAACATATCAAAACACTTCATTGCAATTCATTGAAAGTGTAGGCAAATAAACATTTATTCTTTGTATTTAGGTATTGGTATTCAGACATTCAATTTGCTTACTAATTAACGGGTCTGCGCTTCAAATATATGGCATATTTTTTCTTCGGTAAAACAGTAATTTCACGGTTAAAATCTGGTCTATACTTAAAATACAAACTTTATATTTGTAAAATTTATTTATATAGTTTTTTCCATATAATAACTTATTGTCATTATATGCTTC